TAATTTTTTGAGGAATTGCCACACCTTTTCCCACCAGCAAAGCACTTTCTTCACCTCCTTGCCAGCACTTGTTAAGAAATGCCCACGTTTTAAGTAGACTCACATGAGGTAGAGCTGAAGGAGAGGACTTAAGTCACCTATTGCCTGCAGAGCAGCCATGTCCCACCATAGAAGGCAGCTCCCCACCAGCTGACAGTGTGGTCGTCTGCCTGGGCTGCCTTCACGTTTAGCTGTGACCATGCCTGCTTTCCACATACAACTTTATTATGTCTGAAAGGCGACTTGAAGGGAAAAAAGAAAAACTACACACTCCATGATTTAGTGATACATACATATATAGTAAAACTGTTAGTTTAAAAGGCAAGGGAATGTTAGGCACTGTTCTGATACTAGGTACCCTTTGGGCTGCGGTGGCATCAGTGGATATCACGTATTGGTCATGTTCCATTGTTTAAGTTGGGTGCTGGTTTTCTTGGGGCTTTATTACTCCCATAAATTATACATATTATTTTGTACGTATACTATTACGTAATTTAAATTTTAAATCTTAAATCAATAATTTTTATCCTATAGTACTGTGGCATTACATGTTGGCCAAAGGCCTGGACCTGGTCTGAAATTTCAAATGGTGTAGTCTGAGGTCAAAAGAGAGAATAGAGTGAGTTTTATAAAGCTAAATTTATTCCATTTCAAGGATTGTAAGTATTCTTCAGTGATGTCCTTCCTTTTTTATTTGGCATTAGAAGGACCTTTAGAAATCAAATCATAGAGCTAAAAGAACACAGTTTGTTGTCTTGTTTTATTGTATTTACAAATGACAAACAGAGAAAGTAGGTGACCTTGTGTAAGGTCTTTACCACTAAAAAAATATTTTCACTAGTCCTTGAAATGAAAAATTCTAGGAATTATTGCCTCGGAGAACACAGAACTGTCTCTAGTAGCAACCAAACACCCCGGCTGCTGACACTCAGTACGATGGTTTCACTCACGGCCCTTTCCACAAAATGAATCTCTAATGTAGACGCTAATTTATTAGAAGTATTAATCAGCCCTATCTAAAGACTCATGAATAAATTTGAATTACTCTGCAATGACCTAGTCTAGGCTCAGAGGAGCCAGATTCTCAAATATCAGCTAATGATAATTACAACTAACATTTATTGAGCACTTACTCTACCACTGACTATTTTGTATAGATGGTCATATTTGATCTTCAGAAATGTTATCCCCATTTAATGGATAACTGAAAATTTGACTAATACCTTACTCAGCATCACGAAAGTAAGGACAATGGGAGCTGGGCTCCAAAAGCAGCTTGGCAGCCTGACATTTCATCCACACTCTTAGCTGCCACTAATTGTCTACCACACATGGTGTCACTGCCGAAAAGCCAGATGCTAGAGGCTGCAACGTAGTGAGCGCTGAATTCAGAACTCAGCCCTGTCTTGTACTTTTCGAACTCTCTGAAATTTAATAAGTTCAGAATCCTATAGCTTGAAGGGGGATGCTAAGCTCGTTGGAAATATCACTGTTTCACCACTGTGGTCGTCAAAGGCATGTGTTGGCCAGCGACCTAATTGTGCTTATTTTTTTTTGTATCCCTCTGAGACATTAAGAAAATGCACCATGTAAATTCAACTGGAGGCAAAAGATTGGGGGAGAAGGGAGGCATTCCAAATTCCAGTGAGTGGTGGCTGGGGTATCATGGGGAGAGGGAGGAGAGTGGAACTACTTCCAGCTACAAGGCATGAGGACAGCAGAGGCATCAGAAGACAGTAAAGGATTTGGGTGAAAGAAGTTAAAAGCAGGTGAGTAGCCATCAAGACTCCTGGGGCTGAGGAGACCCTGAATCTCCTCAGAGAGGGAGAAAGAAAAAGCAGAAGGAAATTGAGAGTACTTCAAGATAATGTGTTGGTGGAGGAGAAATGAGAAAATACACATATAAAGCTATGGGTTCTAATTCACATTGTAATAAAATGATTGTTTTGAACTATCCTGTTTTCTCATTTTTCGATTCTTTATCTCTCTTCACATCTGTCTGTGAGCATTTGCCAGGATTCTTTCTTATTCATACACGTTGCCTCCCAGCATTTCAAAATCCTTATCCTTAAGAATTTTATGCATTTTCTCCCCTACCTAGCAAGGTCAGATTTCCCTTTTCTCTGTACCCGCCTCTCGTCTTCTCTCCTGTCCCTTCTCTTCTTGTGTTAGTTGCCTGTTACTGTATAACAAGTCACCCAAACCAAAGTGGCTTAAAACAATAATGTAGTATTATCACAGTCTTGTGACATGACTAAGTTCAGCTGGGCAGATTCTCTTGAGGTCTTTCATGCAACTGTGGTCAGATGGTGGCTGAGGCATGCGCCATCCAAAGGTTCCACTGCACTGAATGTCTGGATGGCGTCTACATAACATGCCTGGTGCCTCAGCTGAGGCGGTTGTGGACCAGCTGGGCTCTTCCCTCCCTCCCTCCGTCTCTCCACGCACCACACAGCCTCTGCATGGTTAGCTTGGGCTTCCTCACGGCATGGAGGTTCCAGAGCAGCTGGACTTCCTACGTGGCAGCCATCTCTTCCCACTCAAGCATTCCAAGAAACATACCTGGAAGGAAGTTTAAAACATATGTGCTAGCCTAGAAAGCCACTCTGCACCACTATTGCTGCATTTTGTTGGTCCAAAGAAGGTCACAGGGCCAGCCCAGAGCCACCCCAGAGCAGGGAGACCACCCAAGAGTAGGAATACAGGGAGGTGTGGCTTATTAGAGGTGGTGCACCACTCCAAAGACTAGCTACCACTTTTCTCATTTATTGACATTTCTGTCCTTTTCTCTACTCCTTAACTGAAATATCTTATTACTATCTTATATCTTGCTTCACCTCTATATTTTTCTTTGTAATTGTTTATATTAAGACAATTGAAAGACTTTTTTTAGGAATTCTTAAGCATTCTCTCTCAAGTGAATCTTAAAAATATATTTTCATTTAGTGACATTAAAATTTAAGCACGCAAAAGGCCCTTAGAAAAGCTGTGTGGCTATTTTTTAGAGTCTCTTTGGGAAATCAGATTTGATTCCTCTTTTAACCACCGATGATAACATATCAAACTTAAGAAGCGGATCAGTTTTAAGGGAAAGTGATACACCATAATGTGTGGGTGGCCTCAGGTGAACTCTCCAACAATATTGCTTTTCATTCTGAGCTACTAATGAGAAAACGTGCTCTCTTATTGGGACTAAACTATGGTTTACTTTCTGGTTAGACCTTTTTTACTTATATTCAAGCTCTTACATAAGCCAAAGCTTGTCCTTTTTTAACCCCCAAAATTAAGAAGTGGTGTGGGAGACTTGGATCTAAAAGGTTTGTTGCATAGTCACATGGCAATTTGGAAATTTTTTATTTAAAACCTCATACTTATACATGACTCAACTTTCCTTAGCTTCTGCAAATGACATTGAGATCTTAGGTTCTTTGTAAAGAGTTATTGACTTTTTTATTTTTATTTTTTAAAGAAGCTAGTAAACGCCAGAGTTTTTCTTTGGTGGTGATGGAGAACGGCACATGTGGGAGAGAGTGGGCAGTTGGAGGTGGCAAATAATTGTTTCTTTTTCTACACACAAGCTCTGGGAAAACTTTGCGGTCAAGGATTAATTTACTCATGAGATTTCACTGCGGTTGCCATTAAGAAAAATATTCAGCCCTGGCCAAGTAGCTCAGATACTATACACTAGTATCATCCCTATACACTGAAGTTGCGGGTTCAATCCCCAGTCAGGGCACATCCAATGAGTGCGTAAATAAGAGGAACAACAAATCCATGTTCCTCTCTCCCTCTCCCTCTCCCCTCCTCAGTCTCCCTCTCCCCCCCTCTCTCTTCCTCTCCCCTTCCTTGCCCTTAAAAAAAGAAAAGAAAAAAAAACTAATGGGAACAGCAGCAGATGCCTTTCTGAACTCTGGGGAGAGACCAGGATCGATGGTGGGAAGCAGAGAACATTTCTTTACAAGGATCATGAGTTAAGCATCTGAGGCTGACATTCTCTCACACAGACTGTATAGACATCTGAAAGCTGACTGATAATGTGGATTAGTAGTTGTCGTTTTTCATAATTTGGCTTCTCTTCAAGCAGAGAAAAGATTTCATTTAAAAAAAAAAAAAAAAAAAAGCCCGACTGGCTTTTAGACTCAGCCTTTTCCCAACGTTAAGGAGAACAATAGAAAATGGCAAGTTGCCCCGTTAGTGACTTGCTCCCGCACCTCTGTTCTCACACTTGGTTTTCCGCGCAGATTACGCAGAGACAGCAGCGCGCACGCGAGGGCCCCTCGGCGCCCATGGGCCGCAGGTGCACCGGCGCCGGGAGGTCGGTGCGCTGTGGTCGGAGCATCTCCTGTGACGCTTCACCCTGAGCCCGTGAACAAACAGCTCCCCTGAGCAGCTGCACCATCTGAGGGAATTGGAGCTCCAGGTCCAGGCAGATGCTCCGCTCACTGCCCTCCCACAGCACCTCCCGACCAGAGGCGGGCTCGGAGCTACCCTGGGGCTGGTCAACTGCTGACGGTGTGAGATGAGCCGACCTGGGGGAGGCAAAGCAGCAGGAAGGAGGGCCGGGAGGGATGCGGGCCAGGATCACCAGACATTCTCGTTGTTCTCTCCATTCTCACGGCTTCGCTGTGAAGCCACACCGGTCCCGTTTTTGCAGACGAGGAAAACTGAAGCCACTGGTTTACGTAACTTGCTTTCATGCAGTTTAGTTAAAATAAGTATTTAGGGTCGTTCAATGAAATAAAATCTAAGAGTTTTATTTAATCCTTGGGTAAAATGAAGGATTTTGATCCCAGCCTGCCTGACAGCCTAGCCCACGTTCTCTCCGCCACCCCATACCCGTAATAAGCCATGGGAACCTGTAATCCATTTGTGCATTAAAGTGGGAGACTTTCTTTTGAAGTGAGCCTATGGCACCTAGTCAAGTAACAATAGTTGTCACTCTCTCTCGTTTAATCTTATAGTGGAGTACGACAAGGAGTTCTCCCCTCGCCAGCGACACCACAAAGAGTTCAAGTTCAACTTATCCCAGATTCCTGAGGGTGAGGCGGTGACGGCTGCAGAGTTCCGAATCTACAAGGACTGTGTTGTGGGGAGTTTTAAAAACCAAACTTTTCTTATCAGCATTTATCAAGTCTTACAGGAGCATCAGCACAGGTATGAAGGCTCAAGGAAGCCCAAAGGGTGGGGCTGGCCTCCGTTTCTCACCCTGTCATCCTGTACTCCCGAGTGTGTCTGTGCAAGGTGACTGGAGTTCAGGGATTGCACATGCGCATGATGAGGGTGTGTTCTAAAAGCCAGTGTGAGCAGCACCGAGGTTCTTTGCTGTTAAGTTGAAGACGTTCCAGATAGTAAATAGCCAATAGATGGTATTTACTAAGCATCCTTTATGATCAGAGAACAAATGACTTATTGGGGATGAAATGTTTCCCATTATCGTTTAGTCCCTATTTGAGTGATGGGTGAGGGTGGCTAAAATAAATCTACACATGAAAATTATTTAAGGATGCTTACCAATGATACTAATTCCAGTGAATAGAAGGCTATGTATTTGTGCACATAATACATACATATTATATGTGTGATATGTCTTTGAGTAAATGAATGTGTGTGTATGTGTGTGTCAAATGTATTCTTTCTCACTTGGATCCAGGAAATGATAGACTTTTTTTCTGTCTGCATTATTCTTATTTCCTGAAATGAGGCCAGATCATTTTGTAAAAGGACCGCCATGAAGTAGGTTCGTGGGGCTTCCTGGCAGTAAAAACAGGCTTCCATGGAGTGGTATTTGGAGGAAGGGCTGAAGGCTGAAATATTACAGCAGTTAGTTCAAACCTATAGCACATAGAAAACAAGCCAGTGACCTTGGATTTTGCTTACTTCTGAGGGATCAGTTTAGTAGTTTGGGGAGGGGCGAGCGCAGTAGGTTAGCATTGCTGTGGACTTCTCAGTGTGCATGAGGCGGGCCCGGCGTGTGATAGGCCGCCTGGCGGTCAGGTGGTAGATGTGAAGACAAAAGTGGAAGGAAGAGAACACAGACAGGAAGGGGATCCCACACTTACTGACTCTATAAGAGATGTGCCAGCTTTGGCTTTTAAACCAAGTCCACATTCTTGCTCTTGATCTTGGAAGTGTATTGACTTCCCAAGAATGTCCAAAGGTTAGGAATAACTTTAGTTTATCCTGAAATTATAAATTGTTTGTGGGTCTATCACAAATACGCACACTAAAATAGCAACAGATGTTAACTTGCCCTATAAAAGCTTCATTTTAGTTTTGAGAACACTGTCAACATTTGGCCCTTATGCATATTCAAATCTCTAAGGAGGGAACTAAAGAAGAAGGAAAGACACTTGCCAGGCTTTGGGGACACATCATGGTGTTGAACATACTCACTGATGGTTGTACATGGATTCTTGCTGAAATAGTTAAATAATAAGTGAAGTCTAGTCATTGTGGTATCTTTGTAACAGACCAACATTTCAGAATGAATGGGAAGTTTATCGATGTCTTATTTTCAGTCCTAAATAAAAGTATATTCAGTAACTGAACTGTTCAAGTCCTCTTTTGAAAAGTAAAGTATTTGTTGCTAGATTTTCATTGTTGGTGCTCAGTGAGTCTTTGGAACTGTGTTAGCCATTGATTTTCAATCTGCCTCATTATGTCCCATTATAGTTTTTTGGTGGAAATAACCTGTTGGTACCTTTTTGGCTCAGAACTTTGTCAGAATTCAGGGTTTTCTCTATCCTGCAGGAAAAGCTTCATAGTGAAAACACTAGATTGTGGGTTTTGTGACTATAAAATTTTTTAATTATTATTTTTAAAAAGAGAGCTAGCAGACCATTTGTAAGGTTTATATTGAACTTCAGCCAAAAATGAGCAGCTGCCTTGTGCCCAAGATGGTGGTGTCATACTTCCTCAAGGCCTGCAGTGAGTCTGGGAAACAAATCCCAAACCGTCCCAACCTTTGATGACTGTCAACTCAGGTTGCAATTTCTCGGCCTTCCAGGACAGATATTTGGCCTTGGAAGTGTTTAATTGTTATGCATAGGAAAGGAAAAATTACTGGGAGAACTGTGAGAATTTCAGGCTTTTGAAGGTTCCCGGTTGGCCCGGAGGAGATTTTCTTTTCTTATCGGTGGGCCGGGAGCCCAGGCCTCCTGCTGTCCCCTCCGGTCATTCCAGGGGCCTCTAGATTTAACTGCAGGACTCCTGGGAAGGTTTCCTCTCCCCATCTGTACTGTCTTGGGGTGTCTTGGCTGAAAACAATTCTCCAGGCTTGTAAAGAAACTTATTTGTCTAATCTGTGTTCCAGTGAAATTTGTACTATTTGATGGATTAACTTAATTTAACAAGTGTTTGTGTTGCAAAATAGTTGGCCTCCTTGCAAAAGAAAAAAAACAAGGAAGGTTTTTCAATACCCTCATATACTCAGCTGAGGCAGAATAAGTCCTGTGCTGGGCCTCCTGATCTAAGGGCTGCTAGAAAGCCCGACCCAGGGAGGGTCAGGGAAGATTCTCGGGAGGTCGGCCATTGCTGTGGTCTCTACAGACACATCTTCCTCAGACTGATAAGAAATCATTGGACCAGGTAAGTTAAAAAAAAAAAAGTGACTGCTTGAATAGATGGTGCTTTGAGTAAGAAGAGAGAACATTTGATACTTTATTCAAAACCTGAGAATAAGCCCTGAGATGGAATCTAAGTCCTGAAAAGGTCTGAGCAACTCATGGAGTGAACTGGGATCAGCCACCCAGCAGGGTGACAGTTAAACCAGAGCACAGGATGCCTTTGCACTGGATTTTTTAAATGTGCTCTATGCTATGGTGTGGTGTTTATACTTTGAGATGAGTTTGGTGTTAACATCTGGCATTATAAATCATTATGTTTTTATGATGACACTGGTAAAATTGGCATTTATATAGTACTTGGAGTTTGGAAAAGACCTTCTCATATGTTCCCTCATTAGGGTTTAACCATGATCCCATCAGATAAGCAGGACAGGCATATTACCTATTAGAGAATGAAATGTGGTGCTTTTGAATTTTGCCAAGTTCAAACTATGCCTAAACTGTTGTGTGCTGTGCTTCTGAAAGTCACCCCTATGATGTGAGGACAGTCCCAAGATACAGGGAACGTGCCAGAAAGAAGTAGCAGTCTTCTTCTGGCAACCTCCACCTCGCCATCTCTTTAGTCTTGATGGGAACATCCACGGGGCTTCTGTTTGGGTGGAAGTGAGACAGTTCTCCTGGGGGTAAAGAGGTGTCTGTTAGAATTCAGGCCCTGATACATTGACTTTCAAGGCCTTCCTACAGAAAACCTTTGCAAACTTTTGTTGCTCTATGATCAGGCATTGATCTATTAGAGCTTTTCTAGAGGGGTATGAAGGGGAAGAAAGACTAGAATAAATTTATACAGAAGTATTTGTACTTATTCACAGTATTATACATTTGTCCATTTACTGCACCATTGTCTTCTGCATCTCATACACTCGAAGCTGACTTCATACCTGGAATGTACAGGCTGCTCTGAATAACTTTTGATCTTTGCTATTCATGTATAGTAGCGTCACGGTAGCATGTTGCTTGTCATAATGTGTGCTCATGATTTACCTCGATAGCACCTTTCTATTCATGAGGCAGTTCTGAAGCCTTTAAAGAATATCACATTCGTCTACATTTCTTATTTGGCTAAATGACATACTTTTATGGCTTTATTGCTTTTGTGTATTTAGAAGTCAAAGAGCATCTCCTGAGAGTCAGCCAGAAATTTTAACAGAGGAACATGTTCAGTGTCTGAGGGTGGGTCCTGTTTGGTCCATGAGTCGGCCACTCTGTTGAAATGCCATCCTCTGTTCCCTACGTTTTGGTGATTGCATTGGTTGCAGTGATAGTCTATCTTCTGTGAATAGGATAACTTTTCTTTTCCATGATCTGTCTATGGTGCATTTAAAGTAGGAAATAATTACCAAATTTACAATTCATTATTCCTAGTTTAAGCAGTACCACAACTTACTCTGTTTGCAAACAGGCAAAGTTTTTTGGGTTTTTTTTGGTATATGTGGGGTTTTTTTTATTTATCTTCAGATAGAACAGGAGGGAGAAAGGGAGGAAGAAAGAGAGAGAGAGACATTGATGTGAGAGAGACACATTGACTAGTTGCCACCCACACGACCCCAACCAGGACTGGGGACGAACTGCAACCGAGGTACATGCCTTTAGCGAGAACCGAACCCGGGACTCTCTAGTCCGCAGGCCTACGCACTAACTGCTGAGCCAAACTGGCCAGGGTGTATATGTATTTTTAAGTTTGGTTCCTACAGGGTGGGACAAAAGTATTTTACAATTGTGAGTAGGTGGAACACAGAGTTTATTCTTACATTATTACTTATTAATTATTGTATTATTTCCCATACGAACAACTGTAGACCTACTTTTGCCCCACCCTGCATGTTGTACCCCAACTTCAGAATCCTTAAGAGGTGAAGAAATGTATCTCTGAATCAAGGAAACCAGGCAGTGCTGCTGAGGAGTTGGTTTTCAAAACTGAGGAAGATGACTTTAGGACAGCCCAGAAGTCATGCCACTGGGGTCCCCAGAAAAATGTAGATGTAGTTATTGCCTAAACTAAATTTTTAACAAAATTCACTCATTCTGACCTATTTTTCAGATAGGTTGTAATTGTCCCAGGAGAGAAAATAACTGTCAATGGGCAGATACACATTTTCCCAGAACTTTTAGTTTGATAGCTACTCTGAACTTCTCACAGAGATAGGAACTGCAAGAACAAGTCAGGAGGAGGAATGAAGATGAGGTCTCATGGTGGGGCGGCTCAGGAGGCAATGGGATATGGAAGTGCTTAGCTCAGCAGAATGAACTAAACTACAGTAGCAGATATTTTAAATCATATGCGAGCTTTTGAAGTTGATTAGCTATCCCAGCTGTGTAAGAATAGAAAAACCTAACTGACCTAGTACCATTTGTTGAGAATACTTTTCATTTTCAGTTTACTTCAGTGGCATCTTTGTCCTAAATCAGGTGATCACATATGTGTGGGTCTGTTTCTGGGATCTTTATTCTGTTTCATTGGTTAATTTTTCTCTTCTTTCACCAACACTGTACTCTTAGTTTTTTAGTTTTTAATGAAGGCTTGATGTCTGG